GCTGGTTCATCTGAGCTAGTCCACAATCATGCTGCTGCGTGGTCAAGATAAGTTTTATTCCCAAAGATATTGCCAGAGTGCAGTAAACAATTGTGTTTTTTGCTATAGACTCCTTATTCTAATCTTGCCCAGTAGATGGTACTGTTGGCTGTATTTTGTGATTTATTTTAAAGTTGCGCATTAAGGTTCCTTTTTCTCCTCTTTTTTTTTTTCTTTTTGCATTTCAACTATATTTCCTTTTTCTTCCTTTTACTTTCTACCTTCTCTCGTAAATAGTATTCTTACCTTGTAGAAAACAATGACAGCTTTTATTCTGGTTTGATCTCTACAGATACTGATGAGATCTTGTATGCTCCTAAAAGGGGCAGAAGTAATACTAAACTGAAATAGTCTAATCTTTGTTCCTCTGAATTAGACACTTGCAGCAGTAGAAAATTAATTTAAAACTGGATTACGTGTATTTTTTCCCTATAGGTTTGAGTTTCTAAGAATTAATCTGCAATATGGTAGAATCTTCTCATTGTTTACAAATTTATTTTTATCTCACATTGAGTCACAAATGCACTGAATATTTTTATGAACTGTTGAGCAAGATAACTGTAAGTCTTTTTAACATATAAGTCCCCTAAATAACAACTACAAAATGCCTCCCAAGCAGCATGGTAAAGCAAAGAACTTTCATTCGAAATAAAATTGTATTAGAGCTACTGGAGAATGGATGAGGGAAGTCCACCTACAGTGTTATGCTTGGTCAGATTCTGGTCCCTTTGGTTGAAAGGAAGTGAATTTCCACAGTTGAGCAGAGCCTGTGGCAGGCAGGGAATGATAGGCTGATCAAGAGAATGGAGCACCATTTTCACGAGAGGAAGCAGGAGGAGCTTATTGTGTAAAATGAAGGCCAAGGGTGCATAATTCTTTGCTTCGAATGTATACCGCGAGAGTAAGCACTAGGGAAAAGAAAGAGTTATTTAATCTACAGAACCATGTTGGCTTAAGAACAAGTGGGCGTAAACGGACTATGAATAAACGTAAATGGGAAGTTAAGAGAAGGTTTTTCAAGAAAGATTCTGTAATGGGCTTTCAGTAGAAGTCCTAGTAATAAAAAATCTGGCTACTTCTGAATTGCAGCTGAAACATTTATGAAATAGTTTGTCTGATACAGATGCCTGCAATAAACAAAGGTTTGCTCTCAATTACTTATGATACCTATTTCACTCCTGTGTAAATTTTAATCCAATTTTAATTATTAAAAAGTGTTTACAGATAGTAATTCTGATGCCTGAAGAAGAATTTAGTATGCAGACAGATGAAAATGGTTCAGGAAGTATTGGAGTGTTTGATCTTTCTTTACTAACCTTAATTTTCCTCAGTGTACTCTTAATTTGTTTGTTTAGTGGACACTGAAATGTTCCTGGGATTAAACTGACACTCATAATATTATAAGCTGAAGTCCTGGTATATCAGGGCATCATTTCCAGGGGATGTGAAAATGTATCTCAACTCTGAGTGGAAGGAATCTAGTAATGCTGAGATGGAAGCTGTGGTTTAATTCCCTTTTGATCCTTGTTGAAACTGCTAAACGTGGCAGTTCGATAAGTTTTATGTTGTATGCTTAACCACTAAGAATTGTGCTCATCCTGCCAATTCAGTTTATGATATTTTTGTGCTAAGCTGAAAGAACTTTTAATAACCTGAAGATGTATATTTTTGCCATTGCGGCTCACTGCTACATACCTTTGAAAGTGAAATTTTCTATTTAAATGTTATTTTTATTTTTGTTTATCTTATTGTAGGTTTGCTCATGAAGGCTGTTGAGATTGCTTGCTCTTTTTCTTCCTTGCCTTCTTATCTTCTAGGACCCTAAAACTGTGCAAACAGGTGTTTGACAAAAGTCAAGTGGATTAACTTCATACTTGACAACCTTTATAATTTGTTCCCTTTTAAATGTGGAAGAGATGACAATTAAGCTTCTTCATGAGCTTATTAAAAGTACTTGGAAATGGCCTGATTTATTTCTAGCAACAGGAATTTTACTGTTTGCTTTAATGAGGACAGGTAAGGCCAAAGATACCACTGAAAATCTCTTCCTTCATCCAAAGCATATTTGTATAAGTACTTATATATTTACGTAAAGGGTTTTCTGACAAAGAAACGCATTTTTACTTCTTGCAAAGCGGCTGCTGGTAGGTCTTCAGACTTTAGCTAAATGGCACCTTCTCCCTGTCTGTATTGCCTGATTGGAACTTCCAGACTATCAGGACAGCTAGAGAAATATGTGAAGGTTATAGGAAGGACTGGTCTTGTTATATTTTAGCCTGGATTGACGAAAACAGAGGAAATCTTGTGAGAGAACTTTTTACTTATTTTTTTAATGTTCTAGGTCAAACAAGTTTTTAGAAATACTGTATTTTGTCATTGACACGTAAAATACCATTCATCTAAATCCTTTTTTATCATGCTTCCCATAGTAGATGGTAGTTGGCACATTGTTCTGGTAGCTCTTACTCTGTGATGCCTTTTTGCAGCATGTTGCTCTGTACTTCTGTTTATTCCATTTCTAAGCAGTTAACCTGTGTCGTAAGTTTTTGATTTCCTTGCCTCCCCAGAGTATGACTGCTCTGACCTTCTGCATTTTTCCAGTCACCTTCTGAGAACTTACCATTTACTGTAATGCTGGACTTGCAGTTTGGGAAATGGCAAGCAAAAGTAGTCCTATCTGTTACAAATTCACAGCTGAACAGGAGCTGGAGGCCCCTGATGCTCAGAGAGGCAAGGCTGTAAGTAAAAACAGGAGTTAGGGAAGTCAAACTTAGCAGTTAGCCTAAAGTGCTGTCACACTCTTCTGGGTGCTTAGACAGCAGAAGGTGGTTACATTCTGCATCATGGCCTGTTAAAGAGCTGTTTCCTTGACCGTTAGGCCATCTCTGCCATGAATAACCTCAAGTAAAAGGGCAAGGAGGAGCAGTGATCGCTTTGGTCGTCTGTCTTTAATCATCTGTCAGCGATCATTGAGTCAGCGCTGTGAAGTCAGAAGGCCTGGTTGGTCCAAAGGCAAGTCAGGCCACCAGCAGAGCTGGCTAGGGTGATGTTCTTGTGTATTTCAGGAGGTCCTAGTGAAGAATGAATGTGTATTTAGTGTAAGAGCTTAGCACTGATCAGATCATTCAAAAATATTTCAGCTTTTCATTGGACTGTTCAGACATATATTGGTGTATGTTTGTTCTGGCTGATGTTATGTAAAGAAGGTACAGAAGACTGTTCCTAGAAGTTGGTTAATAATCTTCGTGTACACCTGTCGGTTGGTGTGTCACCAGATGCAGCACGGTATTTTAGTATGTAGTCACAGTCTACTTACTGAACCAGCTGTTGTGGAATTAGATCTCTTAAAAAACAACACAGGCCTTGTCTCTAGCACCCACCTATTTCAGAGGCAGCAGACAAAGCACAAATAGCAAAAAACAATTTAGCGAAAAGAGGAGCCAGATTGGATACATAACAGTCAATTGTGAGAGGCAGAGATTCTCTTCTGAATGATAACTGTGCTTCTTTTCTTTGTGTGGAACAGTGTTAGTATCTGTCTGCAAACCTGAATCTGAGCACATGATGCATTTAGTTGCCTTTCAAAGCTGAACTCGTGGTCTTTCAGTTTAGATGGATAGATTGACGGTTTGTCCACACTTGCTGATCTGTTGTGAGCGTAATAGAATAAAAATAAAAATCTTAGCTTCAGAAGTCATATGACTGTGTGAGGTCCTCCTTCCTCTTCCTCCTCTCAGTTTATTATTTCTTAAGTGCTGAGATTTCTTAGGACCTGATAAAACTTTCTGAATGCTGAGATCGGAAGGACTGTGTTAGTGAAAACCCACTGCTAACTGATACGTAAGTAATGAAGCTCAGCCTTACATACGCTGAGGAGAGTTTATTTTCCGTACCGTAGCACAGCAGTCCAAAGTGAGTGGGAGTGATTCACCCTAGAGTCTCCTGAGGCAGAGAGAAGATGAATATAATGCCTGGAAATTGTTCCCCTTCTCGTTTTCCCAAAGTAAAATTGCCTGATTAAAGAAGCAGACATATTCTTCATGCTGCTGCCACCAAAGAATATTCTGGCAGGTCGATATAGAGGAGCTTTGAAAGACTCTCCATGACATAATTTTTCCTGTTGTTCTTCTTTGGTCATAGCACCTCGCTACTGTCCTCTGTGATCAAGTTCAAAGAATTTTACCCCACTTTGCTTTAAAGTAGAATATCTTGGACAAAATACTGCCTTTAGTTCAACCCATATAACCAGCTGGGCCTACAAAAGTAGTGACTGGGAAGCTGAAGTTTATTTTCATCTGGTAGCACTGTAATTATTATGGCATTTATAAGATGCTTTGCTGCTGGCAGCAGGATGGGTTTAATTCGCAATGATCCTGTGTAAGCACAGCATGTGGGATATTGTTGAGCCTTGCTTCTGGCTGCCAGTAATACCACATTCAGCATGTAATTAAACAGTTCATAAACTGCCTTGAAACGTTTGTTTGTGTGCACTTCACAGCAGAGAAATACTATGCTTTTGGAGGATGCTGAAATTTCTGTATTCTGTGTAATGCTTGTATTTGCCTTTCAGTTCCCTTTTCTTTGGCAGAAATACTTAGTGATGGGAGTGCATTATTTTACTGGCAACGAAAAGCATACTGTTAGTTGATTTTCCCACAAACTTGTTATTGATTTTTCTGTTCTTATGTTAAAGGTAGATATTGATCTGTGTACATGTGTGGATGCATCTGTGTCAATATCTATTAAAAATAATATTTTTAGATAACAGAATGAGCTTGCATTTTGCTTTACAGAAACAAGAAAGGCATATTTTCTGTGCCTTGGGGATGAGCAGAAGCACTAAGCAATTGGATAGTACAGTGAGGATACCATGTAAAAACTACCTAGGTTTATAGAAGAGGCCCTAAGAGAACACTAGGAAATTTTTGCCGTACTTTATGCCATTTGTTTTATTTTATCAGTTTAGAGTGAATGAATTTGGAGCCCTGGAAGTGATTACAGATGAAACAGAGATGGAAAGTGTTAAGAAGGCAACTGCTACCACAACTTGGATGGTGCCAACTGCTCAAGAAGGTCAGTTAAGAGGCTGTTGGCATTTTCTGTGGTAGACTGTTTTTTGTTTAATATATCAATTTCCCTTAAACATTACCCCTCAAATTTTAAAAAACTCATTTGCTTAATACACAGAGTATTTCTGATGATGTTATCTTTTTTTTTAGGGTGTGAATAAGTATTAGAATAAAGGTACTTTAAGTTAAAAGGGAATACTGCTACTGTTAAACACCTGAAGTTGAATTATAGCCAGTTTTTGCTAACACTAACAGTAAATTTTTCTAAGTTTAGGTTTAATATTTTCCTACCAAGTTTTATTTAATTTGGAAAGTAGCCAATTTCTTACTTTACTTTAAATTGTTCTTATTTTTTTTAGACATTATTTTTGTTGAGCTGGTTCTCTACAGACTTTACTGACTGCCTACAGTTAATTTATGTCCAAAGCACCGTGGACTGTAGACAGACTTCACATAAAATATGTGAAATATTATGTGAAAGCAAACAATAGTTTACTTCTCAACTGCTGTCATCAATGTCAATGTGGGTCTGCACTGTTCCCTTGCTCATGCTGACCATGCTTTTTTACGGTGATAAAATTAGCATGTAGTAGCCATGTACATGTATCCTGAATGGTAAAATTCAGATAGTTATGCAGTATGCATCTACAAAACAACATGCTAATTGAGATACTGTGTTTCCTGGATTTATAATACTAATGGAAGGAAACACCTTTTTTTGTCCAGGGAAAGTTGGTTTACGTGGTCTAAAATTCTGAAAAATGCAGTGATCCAGCAATGATGGAGTAGCATGCAAGAGAACATAGCAGCTGCTTTTGTCCTTACTGATGTTAGATTTTGTTAATCTTATTTTTAAATACACATTCTAAAACTTCTTTGAAAAACAGACTCTCACAATTTCAGTTTAATAACTGTCAGTAACTTTCCACAAAAAAGGATAAGCTAAGTCGGTGGAAGTTTTTCTTTGCTACTGCCCCACCATTAAGCCTTAATTTTCATGTGAATTTTACGAAGGGGTAAAACATTTCTACCAGTGGGAAGGTAGTTTGGACTCACTCACCTGTGAGGTCTGAGATTTTAGACTATGGCTACTCTGTTCTGTAGGTCTCCAGGTCACTGATAGTTTTTCCACAGATTCAAGATACAAATCTGGGATAAGAATGTGAACAATGTAATAATAGAGTACGCTGCAGAGTAGATGCTCTCTTTAATCTGTGAGATCACAGTTACCTGCAGTAAAGCAGATAGTTTCATCCCCTGAGTGTGGTAAATCTAAAAAAAGTCATAGTACTAAATTAATATGTCTTCAGTATATTTTAATTAATCATCACTCCTGTCTTACACTGCTATTGATTAATTTATGGGTCCCCAAAGATACATATATTGCTAGAAATTTCAGGTATGAAAGGAAATAGTTGTTTTGAACCACTCGTGACACTGGACTGTAAAATGGAACACACAAACGATAAATTCTCCTAGTGGAAATATTCTGCAAACAGAAAAGTTCGTTTGACTCCATTTTGAAGCACTCAAGCAAAAGATATAGTTTGCGACTTGAATTTTGCCTTTCGGGGGGGAATCAAATGGAATTTAAAAGTCTGCAGCAAACTAGAGAACTTTCTTCCCTGGGAGGGAAAGAAACGGAATGTTCTCCTCAGCTACACACTGGTTGTGGGAAATCTTAGGTTGGGATGAGTGAGTAACTTCATCTAGTATGTGGGAATCTGTTTGCTACCAATTAGTGATTTTTATTTATGGTAGATTTCAGGTGTGTTGAACATTAGCTACTGAAGTAAAAGATGATAGAATGTAATCAAAGATTTACTTCCAGAAATAAGTTCACCTATTAAAAGATAAGTCCTGCAAAACCTTTTTCCCAGATGACTCTTAACATAGGTCAAAAATCAAGCATGTCAGCAAGAACGTGAGGTGATAAAGTCCATGCCTTTGACAAAAATCACTTCTTTCATGGTTAGCTACGTCAAATTGTTAATATCCTCTCTGTTCCAGTGATGACACAAGCATGAAATCAATAGATTCTTTTCTGTAGTGCTGCAATATGAACATGACTTATATGTGGAATACTGACCCCATACAGAGAGTAATTCTCATTCTTCATTCTGACAAGAATAGCATGAGTTCAGCTTTCTGATTGTTTGGCAAGGCCTGCTAGGGATGGTTGAAAATGTATCACCTCTACCTAAGTGAAGTTACTTTTCTCATTGTTCAGCCTTTTCAGAAAAGACAGGGATCCCCACAAAGTTGAAGGAAACTGCAAAAGTGGATGGACTTGTTTTCTGTGAAAACTGTTATCGCTATGGTACCATAGAAGAATTTGTTCCTGAAGGGAAATTTTGCAGCCAGAAATGTGCCCAGCAAGTAAAAAACAAGTAGGTGCAATTCTAAAGCATAGACACACAGAATTTGCCATGAATGCAGCATGAGATAAAAGTGGTGGGATAAACAGTGATGGTGGGGCAAAGGGAGATACTAAGCGGCCGTGTTTTCGTGAGTCTACATCAGTTTACAATGTTCTTTCACTGTTTTTGGAGTGAATGTATTACAGGATATGAAACCTTTGTTTTTTTGTCTAACACTGATGTTGAAGGCGGTCTGTTTTGCACAGAAAGCGCTATGTTCCACTGTCAAATGCAAGCAATGAAACACTTAGTCAATGGGATGCATGAATCAGTGTCAGACTCCCACCCTGTTTCATAGTCATTGGAATTAAGATAATCAGTAATGAGATGGTTGGTGTGGTAAGTTAATTATAATTAAGTGTAAAAGCTGTATTATAGATGACAGTGAGTGGAAACATGAACATGCTGTAGCTTCTCAGTTCCTTTTCTTTCAGCTTATGCAGTTCATCTTACCACAAATGAAGATTTGTGTTAGTATGTACATTCTGTATTATGTATTGCATTACGGCAATTTTTAACATCTATGGCTTTTTGCATTTTCGTCATTTTAGTTAATTGCTTCAAAGCTCCCTTGTATTTGCTTGTTTAGCAATTTACAGTCCCATACCAGCTTTCTCCAGTTGGATTTATCAGTTTTAATAACTACCTCTTCTTTCATTTCTTTAAACTGCCCTGCAGTCTTAAATATTTCTCAGTTTGCTTCTCCACGAGGTTTGATGGTACATGGGAAAGACACATGGTTTAAAACATGCAGAACTTGTTCAGTGTAGGCTGACAGCTTCCTTTTGCAGTTGCTATTGTATGTCTTGCAGACTAATTTTTTTGACAGATGTCATTTTCAGTAGTATTTCTAAGACTATATTTTGAATGATACTCTGGGACCTACAGACACTTGACCTTCAGATATACTTATTTTTTACTTGTACTGTGGATGTAAGAAGTTAAATGATATTGGCTTCATGTCATTGTGTTATTCTTGTAGTAGAGAACCAAAGGAGGAAAAGCCCAGCGCGGAATGCAATGGTGAAGATGATTCCAAAGGTGTTCGGAAGAGAAAAACAAAGTTGCCTTTCAAAGAAGAGTCCAAGGATAATGGAGAGAAGAAGGAGAAGCCTGATGAAACTGTTAGTATGCGTCATAAGCCCATTCCTGCAAATATGTGTAGTGGGAGTTTTACCTTATAGTACCGTGTTAGTGACACTCACACATCACTCTGCAAAGCAATGAAGTAACTGTGTCTAACAAAGCCTCAATAAACAGTCAGTTCACTTACCAGTTTAGTTATCCCTTATCTCTAAATAATAGTTATTGATAATATCTCATCTGAGCTGCTTTTTGCCTCTTCTCTATCTTTTTATAAGAAGAGTACAAAAGGAATTTATTGGAAAGATAGTACTAACCTAGACTTCTTATGACTCAAACATAGAAAAACAAGAGTACATGTTTCCATGCAGTAGTTACTTTGTCATGCTGCACATTGATAAATGATCATAGGCCAATAATTGATTTGCAAAGAAAACTAAAGTTAAGGAGAGCATAAATTTGATTTTCTTAATTTAAGTTGCTTTAAAGAAAGCAGCCAAAGATCTACATTGATTTTCATCTTTTCAGTTAACAGCGTTTACTTTGATTCAGGAGGGAGGGAGTGTAACCAAACTGCTTGCTTTCTGGTCTTCCAGTAAGCAGTGATTACCACATTTTAGAGATATCAAATTATAGAGATATCAAAACACGTAAAATCAAACAAAGCATAACAAAGTATCCAGATGTTAAAGATAAAAGATTTCATCCAAAGTATTCCTCATGCAATGAATGATAGAGGAACTTGGCTGACAGTATCTGAAAAACACGCATATTTTTAAAATGTGGTTTTAAACGATGGTTTAACATACCTATAGAAACAGCAATAAAAATGTGTCCATCATTTCCTGTCTTGATCTCCACTACTGTACCTCAGTCACGTAAAGCTCAAGATTTACTTTTTCTTAAAACTAAGTCATGTTTTCTTGATTGCTTTGGCATTTTCTTGATATGCATCATATCACTGACCTTCTTGTTGGTCTGATGGTCCTGCATTGATACAAACTTGGCCTTTTCAGTTTCTGGATGCTTGAACTATGTCAGTGTGATAGTTTGAACTGAATATGTTTACAAAGATGAGTAACTTAACCTCCAAGGCTTTCCCACTTTAAGAAAATTAATGTAGCTCTTGCTGTCATTATCCTGCTTGCCGTATAATAGGCTTTTGGCATATTCTGGCTTCTGATGACATTTGCTACTTAGAACTATTTGCTGGCATTTAGGAGAAAAATTTCATCTGAGCTTGACACATCTTTGCTGAAGCCCTGCACAGTTATTTATTTTTCTCATCCAGAAGCAGCAAATACAGTGTCAGGGGCTTTGGGTTTTTTTAGTTTTGCAGAGTACAGTAGGTGTTTCGGCCTGTTATAAACCTCTAGCTGGCTACCAAAATATACAGGTGTTTTCTTATGCCTTTTGGAGGGTGTACATGCAGAGATTTATCACTGTGAAAGTATTTTTTAAAGTATTTATTAAAGGAGTGAAAATGAAAACTGAAAAAATGAGATAGGGACTGTGATTCAGTGTTGTTTTATGTTGAAGTGTAATGTGCTTTGGAGTACCTTTTGTTTTTCCCTTTTGGAATTATACTTCATTTTAGGACAACAAATAAACCTGTCATTGTACCTCCCCATTATATATATATATATTTTTTTCCTGCAAGTGTCAAAGCTCTTGGGAGAAGCACAATTTTAGGAAGAAGGGGAGAGCACTGCAGTTGTAGAATTGTCTGAAAACTTGAGTTTTCAGAGGGGAATTCATAGTTGTCCCTATAGCAGCGTCTTAGGCAAAAGCCAGGGCATAGCTTCTTTGTCTTTGCACCTCTGCCCTCCCAAAGGAGTACCTGTTCTATTCATTAGTGCTAACAAAACTGTTCATGAGCAAACAATGAAATAGCTAAGACAGATCGATGTCATTTTATATTTAATAAAGTAGTTGTACACTTAAAAAAAGACTAAAACTGCGAGAGGTTTTCTTTTAAATTATTTTGGAAGCATGAATGCATCCATGTTACCCATGCCTCCTGAAGGCTTCATGATTTGAATGCCCTAGCTTAGACAAGGCTAGCTGGTTGAGTGCCATGTTGGAAGTGATTAGTCAACGACTGATTTCTATATTTACCATTAAACGTCTGCGGGCTTATTTGAGATGTTGGAGAGCTATGTTAGTAGCCATTTAAATGAAGACAAAGTTAAACCTTAAGTATCTCCATTTTAACTGTATTAGACTTTGGAACCAAGGAGGTTATTGTACTCTTCTTCTAATGCAGGAGGACAAACCTGAAGGAAGGATCTTGAGAGTCTCACAACGGGCCAGAAGAAAAAGAAAAGGGGAAATAACAGTTTTGAAACAAAGTAAGTTAGATTATGAAACAAAATCTCAAGTATCACTTATTTATATGTGCAGCTATTCATCTTTTACCGTGAATTGCCAGAGTTATTTCACTGAATTTGTATCCTCTATTGGTTACGTTTTAGTCAATTCTGTAAAATTATTCTGCTAGTGCTATTTATAGCAATTATGTTTAGCAAACTGAAGAACTGAGAAAGCCAAGTGAAAACTGTGGGGGAAAAAAACCCATCACTTGGAGATTAATTACTTTTACAAAAAGCCAGCTTACCAGCTACTTCTGGCAGTGTGGAAAGGCAAGTGGTAAGTGTAAATGTAACTGATGTGCATTTGAGGCTTTTTTCCTCCCTCCAAAGAGTCCTGATATTAAAGGGAATGAGGCTCATTGAGTTCTCAGCTTTTGAAAGACATGTATTAAGCAGAAATGAAAGTTTACTTTGGTTTCCTTAGGGATCAATTTTGTATCTACAGTATGTGCTGGAAATAGATACTTTTATGGAACTGTTTAGGAATAATTGCTGTAATCAGTCCAAAGGGAAATACGCTGCATGAAGCAGCATAATAAAACATATTTTAAATGAGTGCTGTTTTTTCAAGCTATTTATATGATAGATACCTTTAGGAAGATTCAGAGAATCAGCAGCTATTATACCTCGATGATACACCAACCGTAACCTACATATGGCCCTCTAAGATGTTTCTTATGGTAAACTGGGAGCCATTACTGCTAACCTCCTCTAGTAGCAGTTGCCTGGCCTCTGAGCAGCGCAGATCCAAGTAACTCTGCTACATAATAGGCAGATGAAATACTGACTGAAGACGCAGTTCTTCAGAAGTTACGGAAGATGCTCTACCTGACACAGAATTATTCTTGAAATTTCAGCATTATTTCTACAGTTTGTTTGTTTCCAAAGGTGAGACTGTGTGAAGCGTGTGTGATACAAACATGCAGCTGATGATGTGTGGGAATCGCTGCTATGCGCTGGTAGAATATCGGTACAGATTTGTGCTTCTTTCATTTATTTGGGAAAGTGTCATTTCAGCAGAAGAGATTTGATGTAAAAGACTGATTTATATTCAGAAGCAAGGACATCAGTGCATGTTATTGCGCTGAGCAACACATCTCTTAAATAGCATAGCTCAAAACTAGGTAAATCACAAATGAAACAAATACTTTAATAATGTTACGCGATCCCTGTGATTTATTAGATTTATTATCTTTTGGTTAAATTGCAAGCTTTTTTCAGGAGGGTCTGGCATCACAGCTGGGATGGTGCATGTTTAAATCGTAGAAATGCTTAGCTAGCCAGACTGTTACTTAAGTGGTTTATTTCTCTTGTGAATGGCTTTCAGTCAGGATCAGGTCAACATCATACTGTGCATTGTGAGAACTCAGCCTGACTGCATGAGCTCACAGTCTGACATGATAACCCACATGTATAGAGGTGAAATTTTAGGCAAAGATCCGTAAAGCAGAGTTGAGCTGTATGAAAGCAAATGGATACATGCACAACCTCACAACAAGCTGACATGGACTTTTGCTAGTGCAGTTAGTCCCTTAATTTCAAGGTGTAAAAACTTGTTAGTCACTGGTATCTCCTTAAGATGGACTACAGCCAGTATTGTAATTAGTGTGCAAGTGTAGAGTTTCATACTACCTGAACAAACATGAAATCAGAGATTTCCCTGTGAAAATATTGAAATAAAGGAAAAAGAAAGCGCTGGCGACAGTTTGGAGGTTTGGAGAAATTATTGTTAAATCTTTGCCTTTCCATCCGAAAACATCAAAGTATGAAGTAATGGATTTGGTTAGAAACATTCTGAATACTGTCAAAGAACAGAGTATTGCAACTGTGATTAAAGAATCACCTACAAAGAATCATCTACCAAGATGATGAGGGGACTGGAGCGTCTCTCCTATGAAGAAAGTCTGCAAGAGCTGGGCCTGTTCAGCCTGGAGAAGAGAAGACTGAGAGGTGATCTCATCAACGTGTACAAGTATCTGAAGGGGGAGTGTCAAGAGGATGAGGCCAGCCTCTTCTCCGTGGTGCCCAGCGACAGGACAAGAGGCAACGGGCAGAAACTGAACCACAGGCAGTTCCACCTGAACCTGAGAAAAAACTTCTTCACTGTGAGGGTGACAGAGCACTGGAGCAGGTTGCCCGGAGAGGTAGTGGAGTCTCCTTCCCTGGAGATATTCAAAACCCGCCTGGATGTGATCCTGGGCAATGTGCTCTAGGTGACCCTGCTTGAGCAGGGAGGTTGGACTAGATGATCTCCAGAGGTCCCTTCCAACCTCAACCATTCTGTGATTCTGTGATTCTGTAATCTCCTAAACCTATCCCAACTGCTGTCTTACTGAAAACACTTTCCTGAATTGGAATTCAATATTTTTTGAAGAAACTTCTTAAAATATTGAGTTACTTTATGTGATTTGGACTTATCTTCTGTTTATACTTGTTTTCAAATCATAGATGTAAGATGTTAATGTTTTCTTCGAAGCAGTAAGGGAAAAGGGGCAGAGGGCAAGGTCTCGTAAGTTGTTCTGATCACCTAAAAGAGTCTTCTTTGTTACTAATCAAGATATGAACTGATGGAAACTGTCCTATACAAACCTTCATGTTCATGGTACCATTAAACCTACAGACCTATTATTTTTCTGAAATAAATCCAGAGAAATGCCGCGATTGCATTTAATAAAATGTAGATTTGAGATAGGTATGTTATAAACTTTAAAATGTTTATTTTGACTGCTGGCGAAATTGACAGTTAGAGAATTCTTTTGATATTGTATGCTTCTTTACAGCTGTACCCTCTAAAGGAAAGCAAGCATGGTGTTGGGCATCCTATCTGGAGGAAGAAAAGGCCACTGCAGTACCAACTAAGCTTTTTAAAGAGGTATGACTTCTTCTGAAGTTGAAATCAGTCAACCACGTGAGAGAATGAAATTTCTAGGGAAATTAATTTAAAAAATAATTTTGGAGATTTTACAGTTCTCTTGAGGAAACCCTTCTGATTAAAACAATGCTGTCCATCAGTAGGCATCAAGATATGAAGAATATGGATGAAATAAGTTATCTTTCTCTGCTTTTTTAATGAATTCTGTGGCTGCAGATGAATTCTGTGAATTGAGACTACAGAAAAGCAGCTGCTTTTACAAAATCTGCAAGTTCTAGCCTTTTCTTCTAATCTCTGCAGCTAAAAGTCTGATACATACTCTCAGTTCCCATGCCGTCTTACTCTCTTTAAATATCTTTAGAAAGGCAATACAGAGGTAATCTTTTGGCTTGTTGCTTTGATTATATTACCTGTCTTTTTACAGCTGTCGTTGATGTTACATTTTTTTGCTACATCAGATGCTGATTTGGCTTGCTCCCGTTTTACCTGTCATCTGATTGGATGTCAGATCATCATCTCTTGCTTGTCCTTTTTCTGCTAGGGTAGCCTTTGTCATTTGTCATTTTGATGCTTTCTCTTGTGCTCTCTCTCGCTTGGAAAAGAACTCTGTATGCAGATCCACAAAGCTTCCATGCTGTCATCTTCTCTAACAAAACATGTGAATGTCCCAGCTGCTATGTTTCTGTTATGTATAGTTTTAACAGTTCTTGCATTAGTTTTTGATAAATCTGTCCTTATGCGGAGTCTGTTTCTTGCATCTATTTGTTTTTGTTTGCTTTATACTTCAACTATTAAAACTTTCATGCAGACAGGGGTTAGTTTTTCAGCTTACATGCATGTGTGATGCTGACCTCTAATTGGTGCTTCTAGACATTACTGGGATGCAAAACTAATTAAAAAACAAAGTAGAGGACTAAGACTGCAATGTCCAGAATCCAAAAAAAAGTTTAAGTGAAAGAATGGCAGATACCTGACCATTATTTATTATATCTCCTGTGTTATACATTAGTTGAAAATTTGACAAGAAAAAAACCCTGCTATGTCTCTATCTGGAATGTAGATGTAACAACTGTTGCTATGCTTGTCTGAAGTTCCATAAAATGTTGTTATGGCAATACAAGAATTTACCAGCCTTTTTGGGTCTTGTGCATAGTGACAAAGTCTTAAGTTACATGATGACGTACTGTTTCCTTTCTATTTCCTCACAGAGTAGCTTTCTCAGTCAGTGCATCTGATATCATGTTTTCTTTTAAAGTGTTTATTCACTGTGTAACTCGAGGGCTTTGTTTAGTATGCAGTGTTTAAACCCTGCAGCAGAGAAAGAATTCTTAGTACCACTCAGAAGATGCCAGAAATTACTCCATTTTACAGATGGACAAGTAAGCCACAGGAACAATGAAGTTCAAAACAAAACAAAACAGCAGCACCTATTTTGAATCCTTGGCTTCCATGTGGATTGTGAGAATTACTAATTATTTTATTTTATTTTATTTTATTTTTTGCAGTTCAGAAGCAGTACTTTTCACAGGGATTTTCTTGTGTATTTTTTTAGGAACGATTGAAATAATGAACAGTCCTTGCCGCTTAGTGTTACTTTAATCTTGAGTCATTTCTAAGCTGTGACTGACAAGTTGTCACTGCTCTGGTAAAAGGAAGTTACTGATCCTTGATTTTTGTTTTTTTAATCTCTGACTCTCCTGAGTTTATCTTTTAGTTTTCGTGTACATTCTTGCACCATACGGAGACATCCCCAATCCTCAGTCTATCATCTGCTCATTTGCTGACTGCTTTCAATCTACTCTTGCTTCATTATTGTATCTCTCTCTAACAGAATATCTTTACATGTCTGTTGTAAAAGTAATGTATGAGTACTATGTCTGACATAGCTTGACCTAGGGAGATGTATATAATGGGAATAATGCACATCATTTAAATCTGTTAAATAATATTAATGCTACTACTCTTCTGAAAGTTAACCTGTTACTTTGCTGTAACAGAAACTAGACTAAAGATTGTGTGGCCTTAAAAGTTTTACATTTGGCAGTGGAAATAACAGTGAATAGTTCATGTTTAAAATTTCAGGAAATGGCTGCATTGGTAATTACATAATTTTTGGTGAATTAGTTGTACAGTTTGAAATTTGGAATATTTATTATAATAACGCAAAAATGGACAGTTCTATGACTTTCAAAAATTCTTTCTCTGTATTTGCTTTTGCAAGATATCAGTGATTTTTTTGGACACTGTTTTTCAGTATGTTGTTACTTCTAGCATTTCAGTTTTACACTGAGAGATTTTTTTGTCTGAAAGGTGTTTATGATGTATAGCATTAACTGCAAGTCTGTGCACCAAAATGAACATGGAAAATTTCAGTTTATTGGGTTTTTTTTTCCTTTTTTTAATGCTCTGCTTTTACATTCATCTCCAGGAAGTATCTAAAATTATGCATGGTATAACTTAATTAAATTTTCATTGATAATAAGAACGTTAAATGTGGCAATGATAAATGCAGATATTGCAGTCAAATACTCTGATCTCTTAGCTTAGCTCTACAAAATGATCCAGCTTTTTTGAGATAGGACCTTAGAGGTGTGGTTGCATATTTAATAGCAGGCCACTTTAAGCTGATTTTAACCAGTCTACTTCTCCATTTCCCTTTCTCTTGTCTGCATATTCCTGCCTATGTGCTATGCCCTACAATTTGTTTGTATGCCCTGGGTTTATTCTTCTGTTAGATCAATTGCAGCCAAAGCCACCAAAGCAAGAGTTCTCTTCCTTTCAGAAGGGTGAGCCCTCTCTAGGTACCTTTCTCTTTCCATTAACCGCAGAGGTATTACAGGTGACTGGATAGCATGTATAACGTCTAGATAGCGTAAGTTAGGTAAAGTACATCCTCTCTTTGGGTTTTTCTTTATTAGTTTCCAAGCAGAATTTTGGATGTTTAGGCACAAGTTTCCCTGTATTTATTTCCCTTCTAAATTTTTGGGTGCGTGGGTTGTGTATTGTTGTAACTATAATCATAATCTCGTTTTGTGCATCTGAAGCATAAAAAAATGGTTTCAGCATTTAATTTTCTCTATAAATACACTGCCCGAATCTCACTGCCCAAAGACAGGGGCGTAAGGGGGACATAAGGGTAGGGGGAGCATATATGATGTTTCTCCCATGTTTTGTTTGTAACGGTTTGAGATGTAAAAACTGTCTAAACTCACTGTGAATTTAGTAATACCCAGAGAACCCTCTTTAGCTTTATTCAATTATTTTTCTAATTTTTTCCCCCTAGATGACAGGGAACATGACGCACGGGTAGCTAATGCCTTCTAATTGAAAACATCCTTTCTGTTTTCACTTTTTCACTTTTTTATTATTTTTTGAAGGATGCTGTTACGGATTCATTGTAGTGTGTTATAAAAGGAATATTTCTGGAAAAAATAGCTTATCTTGATCCAACATATAAAGGAGAAAATGATATTAAAGAGGCCATTGTTATATGCAAAGAATCTTTTGTTTTTCTACTTTGCAGTTCATCTTTGATGGCCTGAAAAGTAGAAGTGAAAATGCAAAATGCAGTGTTGTTGTATGATTATTATAGTAATGATAGTCACTAAGAAGGTGTCATGGTGTCACTGTGCAGAATGATAATTACGTTGTTAAAATATTTTATTGATAATTAGTGAGAAAGTTGAGAGCAAATCATGTTTTCCCCTTTCCTTGAGTAACTTTTTCTTAATTCTTTGTGATTTTCTTCAGCACCCTGAAGTGCTAAGTCATTCTAGTGTCTGTCTGTTTTTCAAACAGTCATAAAGTTCTCTTTTCTACAATATGTTTTTAAAAGTGTGGAAGTTAGTTATTTTGAAGTGATTTGTTAGTTCTTTCAGAAATAGGAATAGCAAGTGATCATTACTATTTACCTTATGCAAGTAAGTATTTTGTCTTTCCTGGGTATACACTCAAAAGTATTGAAGCTGGTCTTTTCCATTCCAGTATCAGTCTTTCCCATACAACAAAAATGGATTCAAAGTAGGAATGAAACTGGAAGGCGTGGATCCAGAGCACCAATCGATATACTGTGTTCTGACGGTGGCTGAGGTAAGCTCCAGGATTGTGTGAAGCTGAGAAGAGATGTGGTGTAAAATTCCAGAAGAAATTAAACTGGAACAGCAACAGTTTAAAGTGTTATGTGTTCTGTACCGGGTAGAAAGAACTGCTATCTAGGAAGATATCTGCCTCAGCAACCTATGAAGACTATGTCTAGTGCCACAGAGCAGTGACTATTTGCATACATTTAACATAGGCAACTAAAAAAACCAGTATTACACTAATTATGAGACGTGTATTTCTGTAATCCTGTAGTTTTGATTAAATCTATATTTAAAAGGGAAACTAGGGTAGACAGAATGGAACTATGACAACCGATAGTTTCTATAGAGCTTATGCAGTTTTATTATAATGTTTACTGGTGCTCCATTTATTGATACAATGCTTTAGTTTTTGCTGTAATGCTTCAGTTTATGATGTAATGTGTTGCATGAGTAGTTTCTTTGCTTTTAATAATTAAGAACCCCGTTTCTAGTTGCATTTTGTATGTCTTTTCAACATACCTTACGTTAGTTTTTACATAGGTTTGCCGAGGATACTTTTAACAGTTTTGCTGGTTTTGTTTTATAAATTAAAACAGGAAAACAGGAATAGGTAGGTACTCTGCTCTATATCATTTTTATTCTAGACAGCTGTAATTTCATGGTTTATATTTTAATAGTCTTAAGTTTTTGCCTTCCTGTTTCTGAAACTGTTCATGGCCTCTAGTCACATCCCCTTCCTGTGGATCCCCTTTCTCTCACTTTTTTGAGGGTAGTATGTCAGTAGATCAGTGTTTCCTGTGTACTTTGAGCTTGGCCCTGAATGACAGCTCATGTTTTATGGCAGGGTAGCCTGAGCTCCATGTAATTCTGAGGAGGTAAACTGAAAGTTGTGTCAGAGTGTTAGTTAAATATGAAATATGGTGAGTTTTTGATGTCAAGAGGTTTTCAGTGCTGAAATTATGGCATTTGCTACTCAGGAAGATGTAGAGAACTTTTATACAGTAGTGAGGGATTATATCTGCTATTTTTCCCTTCCTTTTGATAGTTAACTTCCTACTTCATGGAAAAATGAAGTTTTGGGGGATAGCCTCATTCTCCACTAGCATTTAATCTTAAATAACATTAAGATGCAATCTCATTATCTGTCTGGAGAGCTTGTTGAGTACAGTCTGTCTTTAGAGTTCTAGCAATGCTCTCTTGCATATTGATTAATCAGTATAGCTTGAAAGTCTCATCATCTGTGCCTTCTCTGTGATTGTATCTATGTATCCATGCTCTTCCTGAAGGTTTCTGATTTATTCTGATGTCAGGTTAAACAGTTCTCCAGTTTTTTAATGCTAATGGCAATATCCAACTTTTATTTAATGCTTTTGACCAGAAGAGGAGGCACTCAGATTGAGAATTACTCAGCTTTTTATTCTTCTCTTTTTATTATGTGACTTTGTTCATCTAGTGTTGGCAGGAGCAAAAGTAAAAGGCTGACTGAGTGAAAGCACACTGTTAGTGTACGTAATACATAACAGAAACTGTTATGTGTAGAGGGAACATCTTGAAACTCAGTATTGCATATTGCACATTCTTGCTTTTAGGTTTGTGGCTACAGAATACGACTCCATTTTGATGGATACCCAGATTGTTATGATTTCTGGGTGAATGCTGATTCTTCAGATGTTCATCCTGTTGGATGGTGTGAGAAAACAGGTCACAAACTTCATCCACCTAAAGGTATTGTTTAGTCTGAGATGTGTATATTTTGCATAGCTCTGAAATGGAGACTGTCTATGTAATGCTGTGATTTCTTCTTGTTGGGCAGAGACTTTTTTCCTAATCGAGTCAGAGCACTTGAACGTTCCATATTACACTCTACTTTAAGTCTTGCTAGAATCTGGAAGTTGAAATCCTGCCTTTTCTATTCAGCAGAAATTCACAGAACGCAAGACAACAAAATTAACCAGAGGAGTCATTCCTAAAGGCATTATGAAAGAAAATTAAGCAACAAACCTAGACCCCAAATAAATTCTTCTTTCCAGTAAAACAGTAATGTATGGGTGAAATGTATGCTCAAACGGAGGTCTCACAGGCAGCTGAGACTTCTGTGGTGGGAAGTCTTAGGACATTTGCATTATTACATATTAACCAACATTATTAATAATGTGTTGGCACACACTAATAGAGATTGTGCTCCTGCGACAAAGAGTAGACTTGAAATAGAGACAAAAAGAGGAACTAACAGATAAGGAGGGACAATAAAGGATAAGATTACAAGCCTGAAAGCGTAATCTGTTCATAGTTTATGTAAATGGTGTAAGTGTTGAAATATGTGTAATATGCTTGCTTAAGTATTCTAATTCAGTCTACCTAACTATTTTATTTTGGCAGACAGAGAGGGAGCATCTGTGTGAACCTGTACCATTTCAAAATGGATAAAAGGGCTGCCTTTTTGGGTAGGAAGGGAGTATATAGGGATGAAGAGGTCAAACGCTGAAGACAGGAGAGTGAGAAATAAGTGAATGTGATATTTTGACTTGTACAATAAGGGTAGGAAAATACGATTTAAAAAGACTACAAAAAGATGAATGTACGGAGAGTCAGAGGCTGATTTATGGAGAATTATAAAACCGTGGATATAAGCGCTTGGTTGTGGAAATCAGACTAAAGCCACTGCAAGTATCTCGGCGGTGGCACGTCTGTCAGTTGTGGGGAGGATGGCATTTTTGCAGTTGAGCTTTGTAGGAATACGAAGGAGCATGTGTTGCTCTTCTGATTACTCCACAAGATCCGCTCTGGTTACAGGGCAAGAGCGCTCTGTACTAACTGCTGCAATGTGTGACTTTTCACTGGAGCATAGTTCTGAGTAATAGGTTATGTAGAAGTAGTGATTTCTTGAACATAAATCAGAATTTCTCAGAAGGTTGCCCTCCCCTGAAGTAATAACTTGTATGTATGTGGTAAATGACTAGTCCTCAGTTTATATAGAGTTATTGATGTTATTGCAGCATGCTTAGGAAGTTTTGTATCTGTGGTGCGGGTTTGTCATCTTTTCCATCCTAAATGCCTGTTGTAAAAGGTTAGTCTTTTATTAACCAAAAAAAAATCCTGCTGCTGGAGGAAAGTTAAAATCTTTCTCTGAGTCCCTTTTGTGAAAACTTTCTTCTCTTCTGATTTTAAATTGGTGAGAAAACTATTCTTTAGTTTATTTTTTTCATCTCCCTGAAGCAGTGGGTAGATCTTTTTCTTAGGAAAGTCACAGAGTCTAGCAGAGGTGTTGAGGGAGAAAAGTTATAAGGATGTATGAAGGTAATCGCCAGGAATCTGGTTGTTGTTTCTGCACAGCTATGTAATCCCACTACCCCCAAGGCATTGCAGCCTTTACAAATGGCAAGATTGTTCCCTGATATTTTTCTCCAAATCCAGCATAGATTGGCTCCTTCACCTCAGTGTTAAGTTTTTCCATCACTGATGTAGTATGGTGGGATTGCTGAAACCAATCTCATATACTCATGGGACTTTTTCCACTGTCCCAATGAAACCTCAGTTTACACATGGGATGGAAGAGAAATAGGAATCAGTAATGTAGACTCATACGTTGAAAGGAGGCTGAGCAGAATTGTTCTTTCATCAGTTAAAGTTATTTCTTCTAGTTTTGCAACAGTAGGTCTTTCACTACTTAGATTTAACTGATATTTGCAGAGTTACTTTATTCTGAGGGGAGGGAGAAGAAGTCAATTTTAGGTTGTCGGGAGGGGTTGTGGGATTTTACTGGGTTTTGAGGAAAAACAATTTTTTTAAATATCCAGCACGTTTTTGTGTCCACTGAATTTTTTTATGCCTAGTGGATCAACATATAGGTGGACTGACAGCTTACATTTTCCTGTGGTATTACATTTTAATAATGCTTTCTCTATAGCACCCATTGCAAACCGTATGGATACTCTAGCTGATTCCAGTTACAGCAGTTGGCTTAGGGCATAGTATTGTATATAAAATACCACCTCACAGCAGAACTTAGAGGTTTGCATTGGTAGCCATAAATTTTCCAAGTATAATTCAGACTGGTGATCTTTGCACTGTAACCAGTGAACAATTTGGGACTTGGTTACCGGAGATATGAGCAGAGGCTGCTGCAGTCTTTCTGTGCAGGGCTGCCCTAGTTGATTGTGCAAGCTTGGGCAGAAGTGTCCTGGTTTTACAGGAGAGGGTTATGGGCAAGGTACTCCCCAGAAGGACTTTTGGGCTCAGTAACTTGACTCCGTGTTTTCTGAGAGGGCTGAAAGTGGGAAACTTCCTGAACATGTGCCTAAATTAATCTTTCTTGTTAGGTATGGAGGCTTTGGAGGGAAGGGAAGCTATTTTAAAACCCACTGGTTTATCTTGGGGGTTGGCAGGGGAGGGCAGAGGAGGTGAGAAAGGAAGAGGAAGAATATTGTTATATGTGTTCTTTGATACATGCTTATATCCTTATTTATTAAAATGAAAGGAATAGGTTATTCTCAGTCCCTTGCTGTCACACAGGCCTCACAGTGGGTGTTTCCCATCCCCATGACAGCGGAAGCACCTAGTCTGCAACTTGGTCTCCAGTAGACACGTGGGTGAGGTCACTGGGGGAGAGCGGAGCTGCAAAACAAAATTGTTTTGCATAAAGGAAAAAAAGTCTTTCAGAAACGGTGTTCATTCTGCATGCAAAGGAGGTTATCTTTCATCTCATTTGAATGAAATGTGCAGAGAAACGATGGGTGTATGTGCATGCTTGTAAAGGTGTTACATGCTCAAAAATAGTTTTGACACTCTACTGGGACGTGAGGGACTGAGGTTTTAGTTGCTACTCAGCCTTGCAAAAGAATATCATACCAATGTAAATATTTTGTAAACTGAGTATAGATTCTTGCATCATGCCAAACATGAGGGTGAAATTAGCTGAAGCGAAGGAACTTCAAGTTTTGTTCTTTTTTTAAGATTCCTTGCCCATAGGGCGGGTCAGTCATGTCTAAAAGACTACGGCGGGGACTGCAGGAATATTGCACTTCAAGAAATCTCTGAAATTCTTTCGTGATCTTGTAAGATATTCCTGTCAGCCACTGGTCCTACAAGTCCTGTTGTAATGCACGGCTTTCTGGCCTGTTCTGTGTTCCGGTCTTAAGCTTCATTATAGTAGGTCTTGTTCTCTTCTTATGGGAAGTAGCTTGTCAGTTTATTACTTACTACTCAAGCGGCTCCCAGTGTCCTCAGTTTCTTTGTGGTAATGCTACTGTTCTTTGCTTAGAATTAGCCAAAAATCATTTGGATGTAGAAGAGATGAGTTAGTTACAGCAAAGGCATTTTGGTTTTCTGAAACTAGTTCTGAGGAATTATTCTGCAGTCAGTAGAAGGGAGAGCCTTAAAAGCTATTTGTCATGGAAGATCCTAAAGTAAAAATCGTGTTGACTTCTTGGGGAACATCAATTAATACAGATTTGTAGTGTTTGTTCTATAAAAAAAATATTAGCAAACCAGCATAAATGAAAGCATGTAAACAAATGAGAAGTGAATTTTAGAATCAAGTCTTATGCATCCTATCAGCATTGAAAAACATGCATTTATAAGGAATGTGAGACATAAATTACACATTCAAGTTCTTTCCCATAAGCGTATCTGGTTCTAGTAAAGGTGTAGCTTCACAAAGTGTTGAAAAAATTTTTCCATCCACAAATCATTAAGAAGAAAGAAAGAGCAATTTAAAAAGAATATCCAGTGTTGTAGAAGATGGAAATGTATTGCTGTATTATGGAAAAAACAAGACTATTTTCTGGTTAATGAGTTGTGTAATTCCACTTAGCATTTATATTGAGTATTTGTGAAGTGACCAGAAATTAATGATCTTAATGAGTGAACATAGTCTGTATGTATTTTGGCTAAACTAAATTGACTCCTGTGCCTTTCTTGAGAGATGATGTAGGAGCCAGGGATCTTGTCTTACTTTGTGACCAGAAGACCCATGCTATCAAGAAACTTTTTCATTGTCTACTGAAATCAATTTGTTTTTCATGGGCTTTGGCTCAGTACGAGTACCTGATCTGGCCACACATGCAGTAGGTGGGAGTTTTGTGCTGACTCCTGTGAACTTTGAATTAAGTTTGAATATTCTCTAGAATTACAAAGGGAAAATGAAAGCACTGATATCACCCTTCTATTAAGAAGGGATTCAGCTGATCTGCGGCAATGGTGCGTCAAGACAAGAGACAACTGGAGTACAAAGAAAAGTATAAATATTAGGACTTGGGGATTAATTTGTATTAGCTAAGTTTTAAAATGAAAACAGAGAAAGACAGATGTAGAAAGAGTGAAGTAAAGAATTCTTTACTTATGGTGCCTGAGAAAACATAAGATTCTCGGAAGGTTTAACAGAGCTGTTGCCTGGGGCATATTTGAATAGCACTGCAAATAGTCAAGAGGTGACGTAATTCAGTAGTTAAGGAAATTACTCACTGAAATTGGTAGTATTTTTGGTCTTGTTTTACTGGATTGTAAGATAGGAACTAAAACAGATATTCCTATTATTATTATTTAAGGGGAGGATAAAGGAAGAAGACTACGTGCTTGCAACTCTTAGCATTGCTTTAACGATCAGAAGTATAAGTGGTTTGATGTGAATTATTTTATGTAATTCATTATAATGAACTATTTTATTTTTTTTCTTGAAGAAACCAGTAGTAAACAGAAATTTAGACTTTTTTCCAAGTGTTGTATGAATGCATGGAATAAAAAATGTGGAACACCCATGTAGGCAATGGTTTACAGTGTAAATACGTTATGCGTACAGGGAGTTTATTTTGCATAAGGGAGTCTGTGCCATGGGTAGTGTAAGCGATTGTTTTGATGCCACCTAGGACATCTGTTTTAAACCTAGTGATGCTATAGTGGTGATAGCCTGAGGACGTAGCAGGGCAAAGTTGGTAGGAAGAGGGAATTTCTTTTATTAGGCTGATTGGCATAGTTGGACAGCCTTTGGTGCCTGTAGACCTTTGTTGGTTCTGAAATAGAAGCAACAGACTGCAAAGCTACTTGAGAACGGTTGGAGTTTGTTCATTGTTTTTCTGTCAGTCAGACTGTCAGCGGAAGGATAGTTGGTCCCTGTGAGGTAGAGGGGAGAGGGATGGTAAGGTGTGATTTTGTGGGAGAAAGAGACATGTAAATTGCAGCTTGTGCAGCTTGGAGAAATTTGCAGGGAGGGAAGGAGGTTATAACATAAAACTGATGTCTTATTGAGACTGTAATGTTTGATATAATTTCTGATATTTGGTAGAATTATGAATTTCAGTTTCCAGGCTTTCCCATGAAGTTGTTTTATTCCTTGAGGATTTTCGGGTGCCTTGAGGGTCAGGAATGTGAGTACAGAGATCAGGGATAGAGTAATAAATTTGTAAGAAACACTCCCCAGCTTTTTTTGAAGCTAACATTGAAACTGAGCTGAAATATCCTGAGGTCCTGCCTAGTGCTCTATTTATATGGCTGCTACTCTTCCTCCCAGATGAAGATTAGGAACAGTCCAAATTTCAGTCCCAGATAAGTATGAAAAGCTAGCAATCTGTAGCTCAGGAAAGCATAGTATTTTGTTCAGTTAGTGTAAGAAAAAGCTTGCCATTTAGGTAAGGAAGCTCAACAAGCCCTAAATAAAGAACATGATTCCTTTTTGTAATATCAGATGCCCAAATAAAAATAGAAAAGTTTCATCAACTTTCTTTTGAACTCTGTAGGCTACTCTACAGTGTGTTATGCTTCAGTTCCTAATAATACCAAAGAGTGCTCCCTCAAAGTTTCCTTAAGTTTATATTGGGATAAAATCAGTAATTAAAGTTAGTTTTCCCTATGTAGTTCATATAAAATTAGAGTAATAATTGACAATGCATGATGCTTTTCAGTTTTGAAATTTTAAAAAGTAGTTCAGAACTAGATGGAAAAATAATTTTATCAGTTATGATCAACACACTTACATGCACTTTATATTTCATGCGATTTTATTGTTTGTCCTTCTATGGCCCTCATATAGGATACAAGGAAGAGGAATTCAACTGGCCTGCATATCTAAAGGCGTGCAAGGCTCAAGCTGCTCCCAAATCTTTGTTTGAAAACCAGAATGTGGTACGTATTCACTTGTTACTGATGGTGTGGTAAGTTGCAAGTGGGCTTGCATTTATGGTAGTGAACTTCAAATAGATTTCAGTGATTAAATTGACTTGAAATTGACTTGAAACCCTGTAAACTATTCTGACACATCCAGAAACAGTATATTAAATGAACTTTAGTAATTGTTATTATTACTGTGTCTCACACCACAATGTTGTGGAACAGGCAGAGTCTTTCAGAGGGAGCATCTGAGACAGAGTCAAAACTGACACTTTTCAATTTTAGCAGCATGTTCAGGGCTTTTTATTTCATAAAGCATGAGTCTGTCTCTGTGTTTGAGCATCTCTCATGTCAACTAATTAGGCTGCTGCCATTCTGTTGGGGCAGCTAATTGGGAAATTTAGAAATGACATGAATGTATTGATTGTGGACACTGGGGAGATTTCTGATTTTATAGTATTTATTCTTTATTAAATGTCTTTCTCTTATGTAGACAGTGATTCCATCGGGATTTCGAGTGGGAATGAAGCTTGAAGCTGTAGACAAAAAGAACCCTACTTTCATTTGTGTTGCTACGGTAACAGACATGGTGGACAATCGTTTTCTGGTTCATTTTGACAACTGGGATGAGAGTTATGACTATTGGTATGATATTTTTGTTTTCTATTTTAGTGAGCTGTATCAGGAGTATTTTAGCTTTAAAGCAGTGTTTTCGGTGATAGTTTACATACTGTGCATACAGTCAGCATATCACCTTTTGCTAGATTTATAAGCCTGGCCACCAGAGTGTTTCTTAGTGGCGAAATGGAGGAATCCAGTATGTATGTCACATAGCACATAAAAAAATTACCAGAGGTTGTCATAAATAAGTGGTGTTTTTTGCATGTGGTCCTACATCTGGAGTTTTGGAGTAATTTCTCACTTCAATTATGCAGTATCTCTGAGACTGATATCTTTAGTGAAGAATATGCACCATGACAATGATTATGTTTATAATTAGACTTGCATTTAGTTTTGGATTTAAAGAAAGGCTACATTTTTTCATCCTCAGGATCCATTCTCTTGATCCATCATGTTGTTTAGACATGTCTTAGCTGTCTTCTGTAAGGCGTTAGGATAGTAGCAAAACTTGGTGTTAGTATTTTGTGTTCAGCGTTCCTCAGTATATCCTGGTACCCTGACCTGTATTGGAGATGGCCTTCCTCCATGTTGTGCGGTGGGGACGCTTTGTGTATGTATTTGGAAAGTCAGTGAGTGGAGCAGGACATATTATGAGCATTAAGATCCTAAAGGACGTTCAGGCTTTGGATATCACAGTGCAGATCCGGTTTTGCACTTGCACCTGTATTGGCAGGTACCCCTTTAGAGCAGGGTAGTACCTTACATTCTTTGAAGAGTAAGTTACTGCAGAATAGCTAAAACGTTATAAGCCTACATCTTGAGTCCCATCATGGCAACTTAATTGTATAGCTCTGCCTGTAAGAATAAATGATGAAGAACGTTTTCTTCATGTATATTTGAATTCATAGGTACTGATTATGATGTGAACCTGTCGTGTAACTTTAAAACTTTGTGAGCCCGTCTCTGGAGATAGTAATTGTAAGGGCCTCATGACAAATAATCTGTAGGAAGAATAAATTATTGTAACAGTGGTGAGCAGGCATTTCAGTGAGATTGAGATTTCAGTAACAAGGTGATAGGCCATACGAAACAAAGACTAGGATTAGTGATTATTTCCATGATGAAATTATTAATACAGAGCATGTTTCCTCTACAGAGCAGCAAGACTGGAAAATGTTAAAAAATATTCTGAATTTCCTGATGTTTAAGTACTCATTTAAATAACAGTTATGCCTTTAATTAATAGTGAAAACAGCACTTACTCAAGGCTTTTAAGGCAAACACCGTGCAATATAACCTGTAGTTAGTTTGTTCAGAGGTACCATACCTCTGCAAAACATTGCACTGTGTATAGCAGCCATATGCTGAATTTCAGCAATGTTAATATGCCCATGTCAACAGGAATTCAGCCCACCAGTCTTTTCAGAAGAGGGAAAAGCAGTTGTAAGTACATAATCAGGCTTTAAATTTTTACTCTCTCATTATTCTGAAGCAGAATTTCTGAATTTCATATCCGAAATAAGTAAAGTAACACCTTTCTGAAAGATAAGGGAAAGTAGAAGTGAAAAATACTTAAGTCTTTGAAAAATCACTGAAGCTGTGCTTATATTGAAGCCATGCTGAAGCTTTGTTCTCTTAGTGAATTCTAAAAATACCCTTTCGGAAGGAATAAGAAGATGCTGCTAGAAATACTGTCTTCTATGTAAATTAAATTCTGAGTCATGTGGCGTACCTCTCTATATTGTCGTAATTGAGAACAAGAACGAATAGAGGAGGAAGGTAGGAAAACTGATGAAAAGAATAGCAAACAAAAATATTAGTGAAATGTCCTACCGAAAGAGAGCCTGAAAATACTGTTGTCCTGGATGCATCCCACTTACCTTTTAAATTTTAGGTACCAAGCTTGTAGGACCCTGAAAATACCTCGGATGCGTAAGTTTTACGCCTACCAACTGCCATCTGTAACTACAACTGAAAAGTTCTATTGGGATTACACAGAGCGGTTGGCCTTCCGTTTTCCCTGCACCTGTGAGTGAGTGTCACTCTCCGAATTATGATGAATTCAATAAGGAAAAATGATATATTTAGTGTATGTAGTTGTTTATTTTCAAACAAGTACCTTTCTTTCTCTGTATACCTTTTGTGATTAGGCAGGTTGGGGTAGACTGAACTTTTTGTTCGTGGATGGCTGAAAGACGGTTGACTAATTTTACCGAACTTGAAGCAGCAGAAATAAATTACTATCGCCTAAGCTTTTTTAAGCTTCATGCTTTCAGCCTAAAGGTGTATTTCCTGACTTCCTTGAGCATTACAAAATACATTAATGGTTGAAAATAAGTACCCTAGCTAGAATTAGTCATTACTAGAGCTCTTTAACACATGGTGATGATAGTTTCAGTGTATTATAAATCCTATTCAATTGTGCATTGGCAATTGGTTTTAGAGGGAAGAAAAGTGAACAGAATTGACAAATTTAAGACTTTTGTTTGGGAAGGAGAATTTTGGACTGTACTACACAAGCCTTCTGATCCTTTGCCTCTGTTGCATCTTTTCTGATGGAACAATTAATGCTTCTTTGAGAACCACGGATATTCCCTCTGGGTGAAGTTTGCAGTTGTGCTGAATATTGGACTAAATCTGGAAATCAGCAATAACACTTGAGAATGTGACTTTAGGATGTTTTTTGAATGAACAATCTCGCTTATCAATATGTTGAGGCAGACAAAGATTAATACTACAAATTCTTTGGATTTGTCTACACTATGAATTAACCGTAGATCCAAGCTGGCTTTCAATTCTGCATTCTCTTAAAGCTGTTTTATTTACATGCAGGCATGTTTCAGACACGGACTTTGCCTAAGCTTCCTAATATTTTGTGGCAAAACTCAAACACACTCAGGTAAAGCTTTGCTACCTTACTGTCACTTGCCATCAGGAGCAACTGAGTGGTGGCGGTGCTGAGTGTGTTATCCCAAACTGACCAGGTCTGAATGCTGTGCCCTAATCCACTGCTTGATCCGAACTTCGCCTGCAGAAAAGGTGCTACAGCAGCTTTTGGGACTGGCTTACCAGGAGTGGGAGAAAATATGATGTCCCATGCTTTACTCAGCATTCGGTAATGTCTGCCTTGCATAGAAAAATGGTTTCTGAAGCCCTTTGTGAAGACAAATTAGCTTTTGATTATCTAAATCATTTCGTTCCTGTATGAGTTTTGGAACAGACTGTATGTTGGTGTAAGTGTAAATAAGAGGTCAGCTCTCCTCTCTGCTGTCATCTGCCACTTGGCTAATACCAAAGTCCTTAGAAGTTGTGCACTGCTTGTTTCTTTTTTGAAATTATTTATTCCACTCTTTCTTTGAAAAGGAACGGTCTTTTTGAAGAGGTTACATTATGCCAAAAAAGAAGATTAAAACAAAGAAGCATGAATCATAGCACATGCTTTTAACTCTCTAAACGGATAATGGACCAATGTGTGACTGTAAACCTCTAAAATTTCTTACAAACTGCTATGCACCTGTCTTACCATCAGACTTCAAATAGAAAATACAGTAATGCAGCTTGGTAGATCAACTGTGGACACACATCATGACCTCATGCACCATGTTTTTAGGAAGTCCTGACCTAGAGTTTTACCAGCTTTATACTTGTTAATGATGAAGTATTCTCACTCATGCACTAGATGGGGCTGTAGGATGGTTTCTATATTTTTCTTCTTTTTTTTTTTCTTTCCTTTTTTCTTCTTTTTTGTGCACAGATAGATGGACTTATATGTACTCACAATCAATAAGTTGTACATGTAGCATTCCTGAGGGTAGTATTATTTACTTGTATAATGCATATGTGTATGAGGTTTTTTTGATAGATGACGTTTTCATTACAGATTGTATCTACGTTTAATAAAGTGGTAATCAAGAATATCAAAATAAATTGTTTCCTCAAGAGGGAGAAATTAGAAATTATTTTAAAACATAAAATGAGTATAACACATTTAGCTCATTTGGAAAAAAATTGCGGTTACTAAATCAAAATTCTATGCAAATCTTCAGATAGAGACCTGGTTGGGGATACATTTTTTCTAAAAGAATTGAATATTCTTTTATTTAACTGTCAGCATTATCATCTATCTCTCCTGATAATCTGAATTTAATTAATTATATGTGAAACAGAGATTTTGGGGAAAAATTAACAGGACAGCTGAAACTGAGCAATAGAAAAATTATTAATTCTTCTTTCCTAACTGAGTCTATCAGTTGGACATGCTCTCTGGCCATGAATTAAGAATTATTTAATTGCACATGTGCTCCTTTCATGTAGAGTGCCGCACACCCCAGGGGATTCACAGTTCCAGCTGCCCTCAGCTTTTTTTCATTGTGGAAAGCTGTACACAGTGGAACTTCTTTTCTCCTTTAATAGCTTTTCTCAGTTGTTGTTAAGCTGTCCTTAAGATAGCAGAGCTAGGTTTTGATCTATCCCTCTCTGTGGTACTGCTGTGGGTTCAACTGTCTCTTTTCTGTTTTTTGCTCTGTTGAAGTTTCTTGGATTAGCCTCAGTTTCCCGTATGGATAATAGATGTCTTTTTGTGTCTGAGTGCTCTCGCATGACAGATAGAATGCTTTGTAAGTGAAATGACTTGTGTGACTTTTACAGTCTTGCTTTGCTTTACAAAATGTAGTGTTGCTCCACTGTATGCCAGAGGTAAGCAGATTTGTAGATGCAAAATTCTTCAGCTCCTGATAGTAGTGAGTAACCTCTCTTGGCCTGTGAGCATTTTCAGAATTCATTGTTGTTCATATTTTCTGAAGTGTGTGAACTGGTGAATCTCCGTTCCGTTTTAGAGTAAGTAAAATTCAGAGGTGTGGGACAATGCAAACTGATTGTGAAAGGTGAGACTAAGCTTTAATGTTCCAGTTTACAAGTCTTAGGCTTAGTCTAACAGATTATAGTTGTTCTTCAAAACCAGATTTAATTGTCCATGAAAGAACACAAACTGAAGCATGGTAGTTTTAGTTTAAATTGTGCATGATTTATACTGGTCTCTACTTTTGATTGTTAAAAGGACTATGAGAAGCTCAAAGACTGTACAAATCAGTATGTAAAGATTGACTTTCTCACCTGGTTTTGCTGGAACAGGGCCATTTTTTTTTTCTTGAGGGCCCCAGGTTGCAGAAGCTTCTCATAAGCCCGTCTGTAATGATTGGGTTTTTCTTTTAAAGATCATCAAAACGTTAGAGATGTTTTACAGTGTTATTTTTGCAGTGCTGTTCCACATAGCATCCATTGCTACATGTTGCATGTATAGCTCATTACTGTAATGTCGGAGCATCTTCCAGTAGTGTATCCTTTAGAGTGACGTATGATCACCTGCTTCTTCCTGAATCTTTTCTTCAAGGACAGAAGTGTACGCAGTGGCATTTACTGTTCAGAATTTTACAAAAATGCATGTTCAAATTATATGCTTGAAAAAGCAAAACAAAAGAAATGCATTCAGGACGTTTGTCCTGAAAAGCATTTTTCACTTCTCCCTTGTTGTTATGTAAGCATACTACTGGTAATAACATACTGACTCATGGGCATGGGTCTTGTTCCCAAATATAACTTGTGAGTCTTTTGAAAATGATCTGTGAACTTTACTCCAAAACATTTCGGAGGGTGAGAGGACATCCTTCCAGCGAGGAAGGATACTTTGTCCATGTAAAACTCTCTTGTAAAAGTCTCTTTTTGAGAGGGACAGAGGAGAGAAGTGCCTGTGCAGTCTCCTGCCCCGCCTTGCTCTTTAGCTTCTGTTCACGCTTGTTTGGAAGAGAAAGCGAAAGGAAGGCGGGAGCATGAAGCATGCACCTTTTCTGTGATATGTTTGGGGCAAAGCTTTTGTAGGAGTCAGAATGCTGAGTTTTAACGAAGCAAAATTATCACAAAAGTCCTTTTAATTCCTTTTATTAATGGTAATTTCAGTGGTTTAGAAAGTACCTGGTGTGATACTATATAAATAATAGATACATACAATATAGTTTTATATATTGTAGTAGAACAAAAGGGATATGTCCTTGTTGTGAGTTGGAGCCTTGGCTATTGTCAGAGCCCTTAGAGAGTCTATCAAGGGTAGGCTTTATCCCCTAGAAATTGATGGTGTTTAGCATTCTTGCAAAGAAACACTAGCACAGCTGTTCCTGATACAGAAAGCCACAAGATAATTGCACTGGATTGGCTAATATTTTTCAGCATTTGTGTTTGACTCCTTTTAAGTACAAGGCTGGAAGAGTGCTTGCTGTGAAACAATGGTTCTGGGACACCTAGCTTGCATTTTTGTTGTTGAAATACAACTATACTGAATTTCAGATGTTGTATAAAATTGATTCTCAGGTATTTTTAAAATTCAGTATTATAAATGAATTCTGTGTATGAAGTGCTTCTTTATTTTTCCTTTATGTAGCATAGGTTCAAACTGCAATGTGACAGTAGCCCAGGATTCATTCTACAGTCTTTTATGCGCTCTGTTTCCTTTTGCAATGCTTAAAAACATTTTTGTGTTCAAGGTTTGATTTGAGCATAAAGACATCAGGGTGCCTGCTAATTTCGCCTTCACCTTGTTGTTTTTCTCTCATGCACGATTCTGTGCATTCTCCTAGATCGTACATATTATCAGCCTGTGATTTTTTTTTTAAATATAAATTAATACTGCTAATTAAGGGAGCTAATGGCATATGAACCTCTAGCAAGCATGCTATTACTTTCCAGGTAGATACAGATACTGATTCTGTTACAGCCATAAGGGTGAGCAGACCCGCTGCTCAGATATTTTATGTTAGCAGCTCCTGGGCTGGAGAAAAAGAGAGAAAGTACATCTGAATCTTCAGTCTAATGGTTGAGATGTTGACTTCAGAGCAGGATTAAATAGAAACTGGATGACAGAGAAGGTTTCAGTAATTTGTCCAATGATTATTGAATATGTAGTACATAATCAGAGTAAAGAGCAGAGTCCATGGATGACATGTTTCTACTAAGAATCTCTAAATCCGATTTTTTCAGGTCCAGTGTTAGAGCTTCTCAGTGGAGATCTGTTACTGACTTAATAGACTTGGTTTATTGATCTTTTAGTGAAATCGTAAAAAAAGCTTTATGCTTGTTCAGGTGGTAATAAGTCTGTGTTAAGTGTGTTCGAATATTCAGGTTACATTTACAGTTTTATGTCTAAGATGAAGATGTCACAGGTTATTTGCAGTTTGTTAAATCTTTTTGTGTATGTTTTTTAAGCAAAGCAGGATGCCTGAAGAAGTGCATTTTCAGTCCCGTTTTTCTTCCCCACCAGGTGTGAGGCAGCTAGCCCACATATTCATCCTGTTGGATGGTGTAAAGAGCATAAAAGAACTCTCATCACCCCACCAGGTTTGTACCGTATTGCACATCTGAAAAAATTAAGGAAATGGTAGCCAGCTAGCAGCACTAACTAAAACTTAACAATGAATTTTATTAAGATTTGGTATTTGGAGAGTACTAAATTGTTTTTCAGACTTAATATTTTGATATTAGAGGTACAATAGACATTAAATGTTAAGCGTGCAGATGTATGTTGCTTTAGTAAAGAGACATCTATTTGATGAAAGATACCTCTTGAAATCTGAAGAAGTCCATATTTTCAGCTGAATACGCTCACGTATTCTAAAGAGACTTAGGTCATGAAAATGCTGATAGAATAAATTGCAGGTCTGTGAGGCTGTTGCATACCTTCCTGTGAACCAAATATGCAAGATAGTGGGTCAGTGAGAATATTGCCTTATGTGATCTAGGAATCAAATTTATAAAAGCTCTTAGGAAGGGAGGGAGTCAAAATGAGAGAGAGATGATACAGAAGAATGAGGTTGTACTAATTGTAAGAATACCACCGTTTTTTCAGGAGTGTTATGTATAACTGGATTAACTGGATGCTCTCCCTGGCAAGGGGAAAGGAAGACAGTTACGTGGAAGTAGTATAGAACATAGCTATATGAAGATATCTCCTGCCCGAGTTTATAACTTTTGGGCCTTTATTGCCTGTAGAACTTTCAGACATAAATAAACCACTTTTAAAAGAACAATGTAACCAGGTAAGAGTCTAGTGAGAAAACTTGGGAATGCTGTATAGTACGTATGCCACCTGATGGATGCCACCAAGCTGGCTGTCGTAGTATTGCTTTAGTAATTATTTGTCCTTCAGATCAGAACATTTGCATGCTGAAGTTTACAATATTTTGTTCCCCAGAAGGTGGGTATGGTGTACATAAGGTTTGAGATGATATAAGCAGACACTGATGCCAAAGCTTTTGTGTGTGCTTTTTTTTCCCCTCTGGATTAATTTTTAGCCAGATCAATGTCCTGACTGAATCACTCACTGTATGACCACTCAAATACTTCTGTCACAGTAAGCAGAAACAAGTGGTTGGGAAGCACAACTGTTTCTCTTAGAAATGCAGGCTTATGCTATCTTAAAATACTTTTGAAACTATAAATACCTGTTATATTTGTCTTCATGTTCTTGTTTTTTTCATTTCTAATTGAAATAATTTAATTGCGTAAGCACAACTGGAGCTTGGAAGACAAGCACACACACATAAGAGTAGAGAATTTTGATACAGTGGGGGATGCAATAGTAAGGCCAAAGGCTTTTTGGAAGGAAAAAAGATAAAGCTGGTTCTTTGCTAAAAGAAAAAAAGCATTGACTGATCAAAACTGTGTGTTCATATTCAAAATCTTCATTGGTGTTTTCATGCTGATGGCAGTGAAGACTTTTAAAGGAAACAATCCATTCTTCAACTCTGCGTGTAAGAAACATTTGTATTCCACAAAGATCTGCTTACTGCAAAGACCGATATATTTTATGCTTCATGAGGACTTAGCTAGTAGTTTTAAAATAGTATGTTCACCAAATTAACTTCTTAGGTAAAGACGGGAATTTCACTAAGAAACGAAAATAAATTAAAAAGGAAATTGCACTTGACTTTGTAGATTGTTCTGAAGTACATATGCAGCCAGTTTGGTTAGCGTCTAAGAAGAACACTGGACTTACTTGAGAAAGAACATAAGGAAAGCTGCTGAGGTTTTTTGCATAACAGCAGTTCAGTCTGGATGGTGATTTAGGGATAGCTTTGACTTGTATTGGATAAGGAGATGTTTAGAACAGAAAGACCGGCCATGCGGGGAGGCCACCATTAAGTTGGAATAATCTGCATCTTCATTGGATGGGACTTTTGAGAGAGCCTGAGCGATGTTCTTGCATAAAGAAGCAGAGTTGTTTAATCTCCTGTGGCCTGTTTGCAGTTATGCACCACTAACAGAAATAACTTAACTGAAAATAAGTCAGTTTTGCTTATTTGCATCAAATACTACTCTGGCTGAATGACTGTGTAGGGCTCCATCAAAATATGTATAGGGAGATGTAAAGGGAAATGGTTTGTGAAGTCTGCCATTGCTCAGAAGGTACAAGCTTGCTTTCTTCCCTTCCCTACTACTTTATTATTTCCAGGATTTAAAGTGAGAAAAGTACTTCTTCTTCTTGCATTTTTAAGTGCCAATAACTTGATTTCATTTTGAGAGCTTCAGCTTTATTTAGAAGTAAATCTGGGTCTGCATTTTAGCTGAGACATGAGGACTACTGTATTGAAAGCCCCTCCATGTCATGTAATAGGGAAAAATGGACTCTACTGTGTAGTCCCTGCCCTGTTATCAATATCACAGGTACACCATCCCTATTTCAAGCTGTAAATATCTGAAATAGATAAAAAGCAGGTTGGTCAACTCTGCAGTTTGACCAAGTAATTCAACAGCTTAGTGATGAAGGTGAAGCTTTAAGGTGAAGACTGTAAGCTTTGGAACTGTTGCCGAAACTGCTGTCCGAGGCCTTGACAATGTGGAAAATTTAAATTGTTTGAAACCAACAAGAAATTCTAGTGCCCAGCAGTCTTAGGAAGCCATGAAACATCTTGAGGCCATTGACTTATAGAGCACATGTGCAGTCTATCTGTCAGCGAGTTAATTACAGCCTATTATTTAGCAAAATCCCTTTTGAAAACTACAAGAATTGTTTTTATTCAATTCTAGGTTATAAATCAGGTTGTTAAACTTCTAGTGCAGATTAAAGGTGAAGGATAGGCACTGTCTACTCTTCAAAAGCAAAGCTGTCTTTGTGTTTCTTGCATAAAATGTTTGTATGCATGACAATGGTAAATTCGTTTTCTGAGAGTGGCAACAGTTTCTTTGATGATGTGTGTAAATTATTATAAATGTCCAGACTATTTTTAGAAATTCAGTTAAAATGAATCCACTAAAATATTAGCAAGTAGTCAGGTACACTTTAAGGTGGTACAAAGCTGTCCTTGATTAAATTATGTTTACCACTAAATTACTGTCTATGAAATGAAGGATTGGGGTTATAACACTTGTATGAATTTCTTAAATGAAGTGGACAGATTTTGTGAGTCCACATTACTTGCATTCTCACATCGAAAGCAATCATGGCTTTATTTTTTTTTTTCTGCTTGTTACTCAGTATTGTATATGAGAAGATTGTTGTATTTTTTAACTTACGTGGTGAATGTGCCAGAGGATCTAAGATAGCCTGTCTTGTAATTATTTTATAAATCTGAAGCACAAATCAGTACAGTATTGCAAAAGTGTTAGTCATATTGTGAACTATATAGTACTTTTTGTTATTTACACCACATTGTTTAATTTTGCTAATATTTCTTTTGTGCCAGATTACCCACATGCTAAACATTTTTCTTGGGAGAAATATTTGGAAGAAACCAGTTCCTTACCTGCACCTGCAAGAGCTTTTAAAGTGGTGAGAGAGTGCTTATGTTTTTTCATGATGTTTAAGTGCATGTGATTAATTAGTTTAATAAGAGAACGCATATATGGTTTTCTTATGATTCCAAATGTATTCAGTTGATTAGTTGTATAATAGGTGGTTTATTTTTGTGCAAGTTTGCAGTTCACTGTTAGAAATCAGATGATGATGTTTATTGTAAGTTACTCTTATCATTTTAATTGTTATAAATTGAATTAAATGCTGTGAAATATTGCTAGTTAATGTAATTGCTTTGGGAAATTATTGTGTAGAAATAATGAAGTAGCTGCTGAGTCATGATAACTTATCTTAAGCATAAGTATTTCTATCCCTAATTTTTACACGGTGCCACAAATACAGTGAGAATGTGGAAACGATGGTAGATGGTCTGGCTAGTCATCCATCTAGTCCATTGCCTCTGGCAGTAGCCAAGAGAGGATTTGTATTTAATATCCTTTAGCAGATTACTTCTTCTGTGAGCTTGTGAACAGGGTACGTGCATAGCACCCAGGCACAGCTCCCCAGCTTAACTGTGATCTGTATGAGGAACCAGCCCCTTCTGTTAATTTTGTACCTACGAGTTTCTTTCAGTGACTTTTCTGACAGTGAGCTCTTAGGATTTCAGCGAGGAAAGTGGATAGGCCAATAACACAGAAAGCATCCCTGTTAGAAGCCAGCACCAGATGCCCGTGGCTCTGAGTCCCTTGCCATAGAGCATTCTAAGTTGGTTTGTGTGAGCTTTTTAGATTAAGGTCACTAATTCTGAATAGCACTTTGATAAGAGCTGGATTAGTGAGAACAGAAATATAGTGCTTGTTGAAATTCCAGGGTCAGTAATGTGCTGAACTTTATTTACTGACCTGGAGTTTACCGCTCCAAAACACTTCCTGTTTAAGAACATGTATCAGTATTATGTTCTCAGATAGAATACTCAAAGGAAGGATTAGGAAGGCGTTTGGGTATATGTGAGAGGTGTATAGTCCTTGGCAAAACAGTGTAGGGCTGTGACTTTGAACTAGAAAACTAGATAGCTAGAAATAAATCTTTTATTTTTCTCTGAGAGCATCCATGTTTTAATTTCTCCCTATGCTCTTCAGGGAGTTCCCACCCCACAGGGCGCAGGGGTGAGGTTGCCTCATCAGCTGACGCACAGGCTCTTCCATGCAGCAAAGCCTGGCTGGCTGTGTCTGTGCTGGGAAATGAGGTAGGGACACGGCACAGGCATTGGTACTGTTAAACTGGGAGAGTGCTAGCTGCCGTGGCTCATCAAAACTGTTCCAGAAACCATTCTAAGAGATCACAGCTGGGTACGGTTTAGGGATTAGTGTGGTTCTGGGACCACAAGGCCATCTGGTTTTGAGACGGGAGGGGTAGAAGAGCTTAAGAAGAGCCAGGTGTGCTCTGCCATTTGGTCTCACAGCTAGAGAACAGTCCCTTACCTGCTTTCTTTACTAATGCAGTTTTAACCGTGGTGATGCTAATTTGGTAAACATAAGGAAACAGATTTAATTGGAATAAAATGTTAATGCATTGTTTTGGACTTTTGGATGAAATGTTCCTGAGACAGTCACAGTGTCTTGTATTTTATTGTGGGAGAAATTAAGAGTTCTTACATGGCAGCTGAGGAGAAAGCACTGGTGTTCTAGAACATCATGATACAAAGTATTAGAGGGGCAGAAAGGTTATTTTCTTAGAAATCTAAAATCAGAAAGATCACTTTTATTATACATATGTTCCTTTGAAATGAAAAGAAATTTTGCTTTTGCTTTTATAGCCGTTTATAGCAAAGATAAAATGTGGTTCTCCTAATATAGCCATCTTTTTTGCCAGAACAGTATTACGAAACAGGTATTAGGTCCTCGTTCTAAATGAATATTAAGGCTATATGACAGTTCTATAAAACACTGTTATACTGTGAATTAGTTATATTTTCACTAGGAGACTGAAAAAGGGTATGTAATCCAGGATGAGAAAACACATACTAAAAACACTAGTACATTTCCTGTTAATAATTTCATATAAATTTCAGGCTGCTGGTACTTAACGCTTCATTCAGTATTTCACTGAAACTTTTGGCAAAACACCAAAATCCCCAGAAGAACTTTTCTAGAGAATTTAGTAAAAAACAACTGACAACTGATCGAAAATAAAGAATCTGTCTTACTTACTTGCTTGAAAGGCTTGAAGGGAGAAGCTGGAATCCAAAACTAGTTACTTACTTCTTTAGTTTAATAACAGTGGTTTTAACTAGCTTTTTATGTTTTGATTTGTTGGGGAAGGAGGGCAGATTTGAGAAAGTGAAGGAAGGAAGTTTTCTTTGGAGTTTATATGCTGTACAACTGTGAGGCTCAGGTTTTGTTCCGTTTCACTTAGTTGTTCTTATCTTTCTCTTCTAGAAACCTTCTCATGGCTTTCAGAAAAGTATGAAACTTGAAGTGGTTGACAAGAGAAATCCAGTATTTATCAGAGTAGCAACTATTATAGATACCGATGACCACAGAATAAAAGTAAGCTTCTCTTGTCTTTTTGAACTGTCCTGCATGAGTGCCTGATGAGTACTTTTCAAAAACAGAATCCTGTAGTTGCAGAATTAAGTTTTCCCAGCCTAAGCACAGGAAGAAATGAGTCACATTGCTGTGCTCTGCAAATCTTATGCTTATCCTTTTAACTGATAATATGCATATAATTCCTTTGGAAGGGGTCCCTCTGCTCTCTTAGTCAGTAACATTTGCTGATGTAGGTTGTTAGAGAGCAGAGAGTTGAATATGTTGGGAAATTGCTTTGGGAATAGTTGAAATAAAACAACTGTCTGTTTGATTGAAAAATGTGATGATTTAATACCAAGAGTCGGAGGGCTGCTGTGTTTTTTGTGTTAGGGACGATAACATTTTGGGGCTGGATTAACGGAGTAGAATCTGCCTCTATAACTTCCACTGCAAAAACCCAGCGGAGATACAAAAACGTCTTTTGTGCCTTGTCAGTGACTTCTGCAGTTTATATTAATTCTGGACTTTAGATTGGATTAATTTCAGATAATGTATTTGTAAGAAATTGCTGTTTTCCGAAAGTCATACACTTGAATGTTTTTACTTTATTTTACAAATGCTCTTTGAAGTTTGCTCTTAGAAGCCCTTAACTGTTAGAAAGCTGGCATTTTCCAGGTATCCAGTTAAACGGATATGAAGGATGTTTGTGTTTGCAATTTGTAGAGATTTATTGGTGTACTTGATATTTCAAGCAGCAAATGCAGCTGGCATTTCATTTTGAATCTGAGTTAGCCAGTGGTAGGGGGTCACCTGAAGTAATATCTTCGCACCTATACGTTTTCTATCTAAACATTAAGTTGAACATGTCAAGAAAACAGTCCAGTAGCCTAATTTATTAAAGTGATATGGTTTGTAGCTTCTTGGGTAGTAGTTTAATTGAATTTATAGCGTATGTTGAAAGAGCTCTGTTTGTATGTATGTGTGTGTGCGTGCATGCATGCATGCCTGAAAGATATTAGCCATTTACAAGCACAGAGATTGAGTAAAAGCTGAAGATCTTCAGCTTTGACGTGAAAAAAAAAGGATGTATAGCACATACTGGTTGCTTTCTGTGAAGTTATATAGTGCACATTCTCTTCAATTGCAACTCCTTATCCTGTATTATCCTTATCCTGGTTTTAGTAAGATTGTTACTAATGCGTTGGGGTGGACGTTGTATGTTTTTCGGATAGATGCCATTTTTTAGGCCTTTGCTTATTACTGTGCTACTGTTAAATCCTCTTTAAACGTGAGATTCTAAAATGCTTACATTTCTTGGAGAGGAAAACAAGCTTAATTTAAATAATTAATAATTAATTGTGTTTTGATTAATTAACTAATTAATTAATATGTGAACACTAAAGTTGCCTTGCTGTACTCCTGGGATTTGAGCCTTGCGGTGTAAGAAAACAATGAACAACAAAACAGCACATACGTTTTGACTTTAGTGAGAACGTGCCTGGGCCCAGAATCTAATTTATGTATCTTTTCTCTATAATATCCATAGTTTTCTTAAAGTGACGTCTCTGAAGGAGACAGCATTAGAGCCTATCATTTTTAGAGATTACTCAAGGAAAACAATTTTATAGAGAATTTTTCTGAGCTAAAATGTATATTATTCTCTTGTTTCACTTTTAGGTCCATTTTGATGGCTGGGATAGTATTTATGATTATTGGACTGATGTAGATAGTCCCGATGTCCATCCTGCAGGCTGGTGTGCAAAAACCGGACACCCTCTTCAGCCCCCACTTAGTAAGAGAAATCATATTATAATACAATGATGTTAAAAGGCACATGTACTTTGTTTAATAATTTGTCCCTGACAATGTTGTCCAAGGAAAAGTAGCAATTAGTATACACAAGATAATGTAAACGTGACATTTAGCGCAAGGTCTACATAATTTGAAATTCACTAATTAATCACTTTTGAGTAGATAGCTTTATTGACCCCATTGTAATTGAAGTACAATGTTTGTATGTATGTGTCAGAACCTGAGGTAATGATAAAGATCTGATGTGTGAAATCCTGGCCCAGCTGAAGCCAATGATGAAATTTCTGTGGAATTGCAATAGGGCTAAGGTATGGCTAGTAGTATCTTCTGTCCACATTCATGAAGTTTGATGTGCTTTTTAGTACAAAGGAGGCCAGACTGCGCTGAGGACGTGCTCCTTTCAAGTTGTGTCAAATTCTCCAAAGCAGCTAAGTTCCTTTTCATTTTTAAGTTGAGCAAAGAGGAGTTAATGCTGCCCATGCTGAAGATAAATCTAATAGAACCCTGGTACCATTGCTAGTATTGTCTTTATCACCTTGCTGTCTCTGGGGATTTGTTTTATTCTTTGAAGTAGGATGTCTGTCGTAAGTGAGACTGGAGGTTGCAGGGAGAAGAGACTGTTTCATGGTCAAGATATCCCTGCCTGTGCTGCTGTGCTTCTAGATAGTGTTAGTGAAATTACTTTAGCCAAACTTTGAACAAGTGATTTTTTTAATTGAGTGCTGTTTTGGGGTTTTATTTTATGGGTACTTGGTTTGAGAATCTAAGGTATGGTTTGCACAAATGCTGAGTATTCACAGCCATGACTGTGGTCAGAAAGAGCTGTACTTAGAAAATATGAAATACCCAGCAATGCTCTGAAAAATTAAACATAAAGTAACTCAGATAAGGCACATATAAGAAATGTGAATGGGTTACCTGAAAATCTCTGTACCTCAGTTCAGCATCTGTAAAATGTCAAAAAAAAAAAAAAAGTTTCTTCTCAAGAACGTGATCAGCGTATATTCATTAGCTTTCTAAGTGCTCCAGCAGCACAGCAATGACTGCCCATTAAGAAGTTAATCATTCTGCCTTCAAAGCAGAGTCTGAATAGAGTGCCGTAAGTGCCAAAGCACAGAGTGAATAATGAGGAGAAAACAGAATGCGGAATATCTGTGTCTTAAATCAAGATGTGCATCCTGTGTACTGAGCAAAGGAAGAATCCGCTGGGAAAAAGTAGTATGTGATGACATTAACTACAAATAGTATCATAAGGCTAAAAATTGAATTAAGGTTGTGAGGTTTCTATTTTCTATATTTGAAAAAAAAGTTGTATTTTAACAGAGATTTGAATGTAGAATACATAACTTCATTTGTTGGAAATGTTAAAAAACTACAGCTGTCCATCCCACACAGTGCATCAACTCCTCTAGGTGAAGGCACAGGAACCGCTGTTCATCTCTTCCAGTTATTTTCTTTTTATTTTTAAATGATTCTTTACCAAAAGTTTTAGCTCTTTTTACAGAACTGGAAAGAAGTTGTGCTCCTCATTTAAGGGTTTGCACAAGTGTAAATATTTATCAGAACAAAGAGGAAATATTTTTGTACTTAGATATTTTGATTTATTCCAGTAAGTTTTTCTCTATTTTCAGATTTTTACTCTAGGTCGTTCATAGTGAGTGCATAGTGTTATCAAGGAATATGAGCAAATGGGAAAATTTTGATTTAATACTGATTGCTTTAAAAAAAAAAAAAAAGAGAGGAAAAATCTTTTTCCTTACTTTAACCTAAGTTTAATCTTGCTTGGCCTTGAATATTTCTCAATTATATGCAAGGCTCCTTTTTTTCTTGCTGATGAAGACTGTATGAAGGAATGCATGATTGTATGGAGGAATTATTTTGGTAGTGAAATCACTAGATCTGTTTTTTTCTGTATGTGCAGGCTGTTTGGCTTGATAGGCTTGGACCTCGATAAGATCCTTGTGAAAGCAGAGGTACTTTGTATCTGGAAGTGCAAGTAGGAATGGAAGAGTTATGATATTAGTTTTGAACAGTTAGCAGATGCATTTTTCAGTATTACAATGAGCAATAAAATGAATTTTCAAACAACAAAAAAAAGTGTCTGCATTTGATTTCACAAATCCGCACAAGATCCCAAGTGCATCCGGTTCCAAGTTGGTCCACCAGTAAACTGATCCACTGGGATCACACAAATATAATACCATACTATGTCTTATTATTGATACGACAATGTACAAGCTACTTACGGTAGCTTGTTTGTTTGAACCTTCCTGTTTTTCCAGATACTTCACGTTAACCTACTCTGTTTCTAGATTAACGTGTCCTATCTTACTTAGTCGCTCCTTGTGAGGTTATTTCGTAGCTGGATAGAGAGAAGGTCAACAAGGACAAACATTTTCCAGTTATGCTGTATTGATACAGTGACCAGAAGTGCAAGGGGTGTTTAAAAGGTCTGTGGACGTAGAAAGTAAAACAATTACATTCTCTTTTGTTCTTTGGCCACTTGCGTTGTAAGTCCTAACATTTTATTTACTTTTGTGACTGCTACTGATCACTGAGTAGATGTTTTCATGGAACTGTCCATTACAACCCAAGGATCTTGACAGTGTAGTTGTAATGTTGTAACATTAGCATAAACATCTGTTTAAAAGTGCTTTTGGAATATCTTAACGAAGTGTAATAATTCTCCATCTTTCATGGTCCATCTTTGAGCAAGAATATATCTTTCATCTAGCAAAATTTATTTATAAATATCTTTTTATGTTAATATCATTATGTGTATGGGGAGATGCAAGTTTATGTACTTTTCAGGTAAAACCAGGACTAGAAACACTGTGTGGGCAAATGTGCAGGTGTGCTTTTGAATTTCATACACTGTCTCACTTCCTGTGAAGCAATGAACTGTGCTTGCTCGAGTGTCCAAGCTAATTTTGGCAGTTACATGCTTAATGTCTCTACAGTGGCATTGTTTTCTGTTGATGAAAATTAGATGGACACATAAATTCAGAGGAGTAAAAATATCAAAAATCTCCTAGTGGCTTGTTCTGACTAATAATACTTTCAACCTTTTTTTTTCACCTCTTCTTTATTGGAAAACTTAAGCTAAGAATGCCGAAGGTCACTGCCAGTTATAAACAGATTCCTGTCCTCAGGCACAGCAGGGTGACTTTGTCAATACTCTTGCAAAACAGCCTGGTTCCAGCTACAGATCAGTTCATCTGAGAGAAATTCTAAGTAATACAGTTCCTCCAAGATTTGCATTCTTTATATAGATGTAGCTTTTCTGTAGAGGTTTGCTCACACAGATTAGTTTTATTTCTCCAGGTGATTAGGTTGTATTTAATCTCCATCGTGCCTTTGTAAAATGCACTTTAAAAATACTTTTAAATTAGATTTTGTTTACTTTTTTCTTCTTCATGTTTAACGTGATGTTCTGGTATATCCGCATATTTATATAACTTCTAAAATTTTGATATGTTTTTTAATTTCATATGTAATTTCCCCTGACATGCAGGTCCCTTGGAAGTAGTGGAAGCTTTGGAACATGGAGGGTGTCCCACAGCAGGATGTAAAGGAGTTGGGCACATTAAAAGAGCAAGACATATCGGCCATCATAGGTATGTGCTATGAAACTGCGGTTTTATTCTTTCAAATCAGCGATGTGCGCACATCTCTTTTTGATTGTGATTTGCAAGAAAACAGATCCAAGTTGGAAAAAAATGAAAATCCTCTAAACCTAAATATGCAATGATTTCAGTTGCTGTGATGAGTGTGCTGAAATAAACATAAGCAATCTCTAACTTCATTTCACCAAGGTGTGCCCAGATAAGATGTGTCAAACATCATTTTTTGTTACAAGCAATAGATTCAGCTACTCTATATTTTGTTCCTATGGGGATTGCTCAGCTTGCTGTTTGGATCAGAAAATGATCCCGACTGATGCTAGTACAGGCTTTATCTCCTGGAGAGGATGTGGCTAGGATGGCTCCAGTGACAAAACCTCATGTCGTGTGGACTGTGTTGTTTCTTCCTTGTGTCATGACACAGTATGCCACTTTTCCATCTTTCTGATTACTCTCATCTGTTTCCTTCTGTCTTTTTCCATCAATGTTCTTTTTTCTTTTGATTATTTTTTCAGTTTTTCTGTCTTCCCTTTTGAGAAGTTTTGTTGTACTCGGTATTAGTCAGTAGGATAACTCCTTAAGCAGTCAAGTTAGTACTTTTGGTAACTTACTGCATTCCTGTTCTTAGTCCACTGCAAATGTGAGGTAAAACAGCCTTGCCTGAAAGGCTTCCTGGTTGGTTAGCTGAAATCCATTTTATTTCATACTCCGGGGACTGAGTCTTGTATGATTTCTTAATGCATCTGATGCGTAAGGTTGATAACTTCCAATTCAGGGCATTAACTTCGTAACACATGCTATCTCAGTTACCTGTGAACCATGTGAGCATACCCTTTCTTAGCCCAAGGCTGAAACTTAAAAGGTTAAAAGAAAATGTAAGTAAAAAGAAAATGTAAGTAAATGTGTCCAAAAAGTTTTTCATTTACTTTCTTACCTATACATGAATTGTGGCACTAAAACTTTTAATGTTTTGCAGTGAAAGAATGAGTAAGAGATAGATGTGTGCTTAGGTTCTTTTTTTTTTTTTCTTGAATAGTTCTGAGGAAGATAATGAGCTTTGTTATATATCTGGAGTCCACAGGTTTGAGGGTCCAAGTTATCCAAAAATTTCTGAAATTTTACCATCACTTTCCTTCTGAATGAACAAAGATATTTTGAAATTGCTGTAATTATCTACGTCAGGTTGCAGTCTTTTGGATCTTTTATTTTGGCAGCCTTGAAATGTATTTAACCATGCTTATCTCTTTTTATTTTTTCCACGATGAAATACAGTGTCTATCTACAGCATAAAGGCCTGTGTGCCAGCAGGATGATAATTTGCAATGCTAAACAGTTCTGAAATAATTTTGAAAACTTGTTCCCTAGGAACCAGATGAAAGCCTTGGGTGATTAATTATGTGATGGGGTTAAAGCATTCACTTTCTGGAAAAGTTAATGCTAATGAGGGCTTGCTATCACCACTTAATATAGGATTTTGTGCTGGGCAGTTGAAACTGTGAGACTGGTGTGCAGGTAGGTAGCATTATGCAGATTACCTGCGTATTTATGATACATGGTGAATTGTTTGCTGTCTGATACTTAATGTATGCAATAATTTTCAAATCTGAGCAGTCACGTAAAGATTGATAGCATTTTGAGTCAACTTTCCATGAATAAACATCAAAGCTGCTTTACTCCAGCAGTTCTCAATGGTTGCAATTT